CCCCAAAACCCCAAAACCCCTTGAATGATTACATTCTAAATAATAAAATACTTATAGTTATTGAATTAAAAATAATCATACATGATTCCATAAATTACTTTAATATAATCACTGGCAATGAATAATCTCAAGAAATAGCTACTTTATGATACTTTAACTTTTTAGCCTTCCTAATAACATCGCAAGACAACTCTAACTTAGAATTGTGATAATCTTGTCTTAAATCTTATAACTACTCCTGAAACTATCGAAATCCATGATAAGGGTTTTCTTGCCAGTAATTGGAATTGTACATTTCCTCATGGTATATCTTGGGGCTTCCATTTCTCTTTCTAAAAATCTATCTCCTTACTCGAAGCACGTTAAGTTTATCTGATACGAATTCATTCACAAACTGCTTTAGTTAGACTTTATCAATTGGAGGAACTATCTCTGTCTTATTCAAGCCAGCATCGGTCTGACTTATATCATTGCGGGAGACTGGGGAATTCTCACTTTTTTAAATTTGATGTTTCAATGGCAGGAGGGAGTATTTGGAAAATTTATTATTGTTCACATGAGTTGTCTTGGGCTGCTAAATGTCAAAGCTTAGATTAGCCTAATGCTTTTTAACTCTTGGGGTTGCTTATGCAATATTTAACTCGATAGCCTTTTTCTAAGGTTCTTCCTTAATGGTAAGTAGCTACTGGATACTCTTATCTTGAAATAGCAAAGAGTTATTTGCTTTTAATGGACTCTTTTGACTTTACTTTTACTACTGTTACTAACTGTCAATAGAATTTTCACTCTTAAAAGAAGAATTCTAGTTATACTTCTTGAGAATAAGATTAGCTCGTGAATCAATCTTGTCGAGATATTCTCCTCTGTTATTGATTATGGGGGTCTTTTCTCTTTCAAACTACTTATCCTTCTCTGCATACTAATTATACTCTTTAAATTCCAAATAGCTTTTGTACTTATCAAGATACTATTGATATCCGATAACTTCCTTTTTAAGTTCTTGCTCTTGATGCTTGCCTGAGCCCTCTATATTCAATAGTTTCAAGATGATATTCCTAACCTAAGCTTTATTTTCTTAAGCTTCTGTGTTTTTCTCTGATAAAACACCATCTTAAGAAATTATTGATTGATTGAGATTAATTCTTGTGTGCTTTTTGTTCTCTAGTGTGCTATTATTTGCTTGCTTGAATATAACAGCTCTTGAATTGCTTGTGGCGAAGGATTTATTTGAGTTGTCCTTTAGAAGCAGCAATGGTGTTTTATCTCTTTAGTGCTAAATCGTTTTCAGATCTTTAAAAGGTTTACTCTTAAATTTACTTTCAGATTACTATTATTATTATTGGATATTTTCATTCTCTGGAAACAGGGTTATATCACTTGCCACATGTGTAAGCAGATTATTGTGGCTCTTTGCCTATGATACTGAGTCACTCTGATCTATATTATCCGCTGAGATATCATTCCGCTTTCTCTATCTTCTTACTATTAACTTCTACTGTAAGTTATAAGGGTCATTCTGCTAGTATGGTTTTTTAATAAGACTTTATCGTTTAGAAGATTAATCAGGTCCAAGCATAATCTAAATAAGTTATTCCTTGTACTGCTACACTAATAGATCAGGATTCTGCTAGTACTATACAACCTTCTATTCATAGGCTCTTTATTTTTTAATTTACTTAACCTAAAATTATATATATTCCTAAGAGAATTGATTTTCCTAGATTTTTGGCGCAGTGATAGACTTATCGACGCTCATTTTTTTTAAGTTTCACTTTTTATTTTCCCTAAATAATCTATTAATGAAAAAGTATTTTGATTTCTAAAAATCTAATTTTTGTATGTTCTCTAATGTTTAGGAATGTGGGGTTTTGGGGTTTTGGGG